GCCGCCGGCGGGCGCAAAGGCGGGGCCCAGGCAGGCGGGTGTGCTGGCAGGAAGCCTTGGGAACAGCGGGCTCTGTCCCCAAGTGCCACCGGCCATCACAAGCCCGTCAGCGCCCCAGGGAGAGGGGCTTTGCCCCCGCCTTTGCCCCCGTGCTGCACAGCAAACATGGGGCTTCCCAGGCTCCAGGCCTCCCGGAGCAAGAGCGGGTCCCGCGGGGAGGAGAGAAGACACTCACCTTTGGGAGCCATGGGGCCAGGCTCTCCCTGCAAGGAAGGCGACAGAGCATTGACTTGGGGCGCAGTCATTCTGCAGGTAGCGGCAGCAGAATCCGTGCCCCTTCTCCACCCCGCAGCCAAGACAGTGATGGGGAAACAGCCACGTTTCCCACGGGAGCCCCGCTTGCTCTGCCTGCCCTGTGCCTCGGGGACTCTCCCGTCAGCCCCTGCTCCACCTGCAAGGCCCCACCACGGCGCCGCACCCAGACAGGGGGCACAGGAGGGAGGGACAGGGCTGCCAGACCACCCGAGGCCCCCGTTCCCGCCATCAGCCCCTCTGCTCCAGACTGCCTGCCATCCCTCGGCCAGCTGGCCACCGCATGGAGGGTCCTTGTCACCTCCATGTCCAGCGGTCACAGCGGTCTGTTGGAGAGGGAGACCCGCAGCGACACAGCGTAACGCTGGGGGGGTCTCGGGAAGCAGAAAATGGGCTGGTGTCCCCTTGGAGGAGTGGTCGGGGGGCACCCAGCCCCAGGCAGCGACCCCAGACTCCTACCTGGAACCATATGGTCCTGCCGTTGCGGTCACGCAGGGAGCTCATGCCGGGCACCAAGTAACACTGCAGCCAGTTCTTGAAAGCGGCGTAGTTATCCGAGTGATCTGGGTCAACGAGGTTTTTCTCTGGGAAGGGAGAGAGAGAAAGGACAGAAGTAGAGAGGAAGCGGTGACCATGGTGTCGGGGTGCCCTCCCAAGCCTCCCGCTGCTGGGAACGCAAAGCCCAGGCCTCCTCGCCAGTCCCAGCTGTCCCTGTTCCCCAGCTCCCCGTCCTGTCGCCTCACCCGCCGCGATGACCTCCATGGGCACGGTGTGGCACAGCTCCAGGAGATCCGGGTTCTGCCGCATCAGCTTCAGCTTTTTGCTCAGCGTCAGGGAAGGATTCTGCAGGGGTGGAGAAGGGGAGGGAGGTCACCTGCCAAGCCGCCCCAGCCTCGCCGGGGGTCTCTCCTCCCCACCACCAGCCAAATTCCCCATCTCCTCTCGCCCTCCCGAGGATGAGCTGCCACGCTCCCCACCACCTGCCAGCCCTGAGCTCACCCCCTTGTAGGCTTCCAACTGCACATTAGCATGTTCCCCCCCCAGCTACAATGACATGAAAGAGGGCTAGCACACGGGAACATCAGCGCTTTGTAAAAACAGCCCTCAAGTCACATGTTTTATTCTCAGCCTCCTTTAAAATAGCCACCTCCTCTCCCCCGAGGCTGCGAGATCGGCCGGTGGGCTCTGCTGCAGCCTTCCCCAGAGATTTTAAGCTTGCGAGGTGTTTGTTTCCTTCGCCCCTTCCTCTTCACCCGCCCCAAATGTACCCGGAGACTTCCTGACGGCAGAAGCCGGGTGCCAGCGGGCACCAGTGCAGCATGCAGGCATGTGCCGGGGGAGCTGTCACAGCTCGTCAGCCCTGCCACGTGTGAACGAACGCCGCACACGTGAGGTTACAGAAGTGCTGCGCCCCATTTGCCGCTCCGTTGGAGGGGCGGACGTGCTCAGACAGGGGTGTTTATGGCAAAGGACAGTAACGTGCTTGAGGAGAAAGATCCCACGCAGCAAGCGTTATAGTTGTGAGGGAAAAATGCCTGCCGTCGGGTTGGGAAAGACTCAGAGCAGCAAATACCTCCCGACAGCGGTGTGGACAGAGGCTGTGCGAGCTCTGCAAGGGCCTCGTGACAATGATGTTCTGCCCCATCAGAGCGAGGAACCAAACACGAACTGAAACTGGTCCCAAACCCTGAGCTGGAACAAGCCCGAAACAGCAGACCTGAACCAAAGCTTCGTGCCCAGCTAAGCCCAAAGCAGAGCCAGAGCAAGGCAGCCAGCTGAGCCCCGACTGGGGGCTGGAAGCAAACCGAACCGCCTCCACCGCTGCTGAGCCCAAACCCGAATCAGGACCGCCTCTCAGCTCAGTCCGGCTCCCTGCACGGAAGGCAAGAGGCGCCGGGGCCCCCGGGGAGCTGCCGAGACATCCCGCAGGGCCACAGGCAAACAAATCCCTGGTGTGGCGCCTGTCTGGAAACCTGCCCCTTTCTGAGCCTGCGAGAGCACCTGGTATTCCCCACCTTCTTCCTCCTCGCCTGCTCCTGATCCTTCAAGGCCTCCAGCACGGTCCGAGCCTTTTCGAAGGGAGGGACCTTCAACCTGAGAGAGTCCATCCGTTACACACGAGCCTGAACTCTCGGTTCTGGCACTTGCCCGTGTCTACCAGGTGAGGCGGCCCAGCCGGCTTAGCCGAGGAGCCGTCAAGCTCTGGCAAACTCTTGGAGACCAAACCTCCATGGCAGGTCAGCGGGTGCTCAACCCACCTTACCTGTACAGGATCTCCGCGCGGAGGTAATTCCCAATTCCATTGAAAAACTTCTGGTTTAAGAGGGCCTCGCAGATGGGCTTGTCAAAAGCCTTGTCATCCAGGTTCTTCAGCACGTTCTCCCTGCGACAGAGCACGGGGCATCGGGCCGGCTCACCCGGGCACGGCCGTTTTACTGCCGTGCAGTAAAAGCAGCCGAACCAAAGCC